CAATCGCTACGCCATTTCGTCTCGAGTTATTCGAAGCGCCACAGTGATATAGCCAGTATCTCTACTCTGAACCAGGATTAATAATTGCTCGGGACCCAAAGTGAGGAAGACGGGCCTACGACAAGCAAACATATCCACACAATACTTAGACAGGGTGTGGATAGTAATCGCTTGGCTTGCAACGTCCATAAGCGTTCTGATATTCCACGCTGATACGGCTAATACCTCGCTGCGCGTGCAGAGGGTTGTTCCTCTTGATAGGTTTCGAGCAATTACCCTGGCTTTAGAGCACATTTTATTTACCAGCCTTGGGATCGCTTTAAACCCGGATTGTAAACTTATCGCATGTACCACCGGGCTCGAAGTATCATGCGCGTCGGGAGATGCGGACGCCGCATCAAGTGTATCTCACCCTTTCACCATAAATCATGAGATTGATATTGATTTTATGAAAATTGCATGCGTAAATGACAGCCACAGTAGTTAAGTTCACAGTTGGGATTTCCGTTATCCACTTCAATTCTTTTGGTTACGCAATTTAATTGTTTTTGGCTGCAACTGGTCTGTTATAGCTTCTTTGTTTTGCTGATTCTTTTCATCAAACCCTTATCCCATGAGACTATAATTTTTGCAAGAATTGTTTCAAAAATTAATGATCAACAAATTGTAGAGGATCATTTATGCCACGAATGTTGATTCTGTTTTGTATCTAACTTCTGAATTGTCCACATCGTGCAATTTACTTCCATAATTTTTCCATAATTTTTGTAAGATGCATCATATAAGTGTTAAATCATAATCAAAATTTGTGTTTAAGAGTATTTATATATCGCTTATATGTTGCATAAATACATATTATCTTATGCATAAATGTACCTTTAAAATTCATTGCGGTATTAACCTGTTAGTTTAATCTGGTCTGCTCGGTAAAAACATTTTTGAAGACTTTTTCTGTTTTAGATATTTTTCTGCAATCAAGCAGTCTAACAAGCAGCTTATTTGTCATATATCTCATTAACAATTCATTGAAAACGAAAGTTCAAAGTCTTCGGTGACCAACAACGCTCATTTTCGTAAAATAGCGAAACCTTCATTGATTTACAAGCTGTTGAATTTATTAATAACGAAATAGCGAAGCCTTCAAAATGAGCCAATTGCCACTTTAATTGACGACTAAATAGCGCAATCTTCATTGATGCATCATATGGCTCAATTGTAGGACAAAATAGCGCGGGCATCGAGGAGGTATCAGCTAGTCAAATTCATTTCATTAACGGCAAAATTGCGTATATGTTGGTAATTATCGGATGATTTTGTTAACAATGAAATAGAGTAGTATTCGGCGATGCAGTTGCTCAGTAGATTTGTTCGACGAAGAAATAGCGCTTGCTCGACGTTTGTCGACTAGGTAAATGACATATTCCAATGAGACATAGCTCGAAGAAAAAATATCATTTATTTTGTCGAGTCAACTAATCAATAAAAGAACACATAGACTTGATAATTTAGCAAAAATTGTCCAGCGGTCTACTCTTTTTGAAAATTTAATAATGATATGCCACAGCGGTTTATGGAATTTCTTGATTGGTGCCAGAGTATCGGAACAATGTGCAAGTTTGTATTGTGCTACAATGACTCTATAATTTTATGACTATTTTTGGTGCGGTTAAATGGTTCATTATTTGGATTGCATGGTGTGTTGAACAGGAGATTGACATAAATGGTAAACGCAATATCGCATTTTTCGTTATTGTTTTATTTCCTCACAAAAGTTAATACATTCCCAGATTTTATCGGCGACAAAATGGCGTGTTTAGTGGTTTGAAATGATAACAAAATAACTCATCGGTTCGGCACATATAGTGAATTTTTATCATCTTTACAGACGAAAAATAGCGTGGCCTTTAGTGCTGCAAAAATAAAAAATAGCGCAGCCTATTGAGATTCCTACTCATTCAATGATGAAATAATTGTATTACCAATGAGAGGACGACCTAGAGGACACTCTATTAAAGAGTGCGGATTTTAATGAACCAGCATATTAAGATAAAATATCGTTTATGATTGAGAGAGAATGAATCAATAGAAGAATACAGAAAGTTGGTAGAATAGCGAAATTTCTACTGCGGTTCAATTTGAAAGTCAAAGTCGGAATGCTAGAATGCTGTGGTTTTTCAAATTTTGGCTCTGATGCGCTTCAGCAGTTAAATGTTACTGAATTGGTTAACAGGGTACTATCGATTGTGGATCTAGCCAACCATAGCTATATAGTCATTCTTTGGACATCATTCCACTGCCTTGGTCGAAAATTGATCCATTGACTGCAATTTTTTTCAGAGAAAAATTAATAGTGGGTGATTGCACCTATCGCGATTAAGTTTAAGGCGATAAACATTTCCTTCTTTTTTTATTTGAATTCTAAAAACATTCATTTTTTTCTATAATTCGCCAAGAAAGCGTAGGCTTTGCATAGATTTTAGTGAGAGTTTGATCCACTAATTATATTCAGTTACCATAAAACGTATAATGATGGTCTATACACACAATTTAGCAGTAGCCAGCAGTAGTTGATTCGCTAAAATAATGTGAAATATATTAATGAGGTGAAGATTCACTTTAATGGGATAACATTAGTGAGATATCTATTGAACTCATGTTGTTTACTAAAATCGGGCTCGATTATGAAAACAAAAATTTAATCATTTGAAAAAACTATGCTATGATAACTTAGTCACAATGTATTTGATGGTTACTTTAACATACGATATGATATAACACTACTTTAATAATTCTTGACGATATAAGATGATAAAAATGTATAGTAGATCAAAGATAAAATGCTTTATGCAAAAATGTATTTTTGTACAATTACTAAAACTCAAAATTAATGTATACGAGTAAGTAGTATTCGCGTAATCGTGGTGACCCATATGCTTCCATTTCTGGATGATTATTCGGCGAAGTATAATCATCCTAAATAACTAATGGGTGAACCACCATGAGAAATGCTGACTTATGGTAGAAAAACACATTTTACTCTGCAGAGGTCTCTAAAAAAGTCTCTACTTTCGAAAAATTTGTGAAAATTTTGCTTTGTAAAGGTACATTTGTACTACTTTTGACGGATTAACTCAGTCAAATTTTAAAATTTAGATGTTTTTCATAAATAGTATGGAATGATGACTACATGAATTTGAAATCAATTTATTAGTAAATTTATTAATTTATTAGTAATGAGCAGAATTTTCGTCAAACTTGCATTTCGAACCCTGTTCTATTTCGACTTCTGTATAAACCAAATTCCTATATTTTTCTTCAGTTGCAGCACCTTCAAACTGTATTATTTCTTTATCTCCAGTCATCAGTAACCAGTTTTTGGAGATAGAGGGTGCTATGTAACAGATGTAACAGGGAAAAAGCTGATGAAATTTGGCAGAAAGGATTAGATAAGTTTTATGGAGTCTATAACACAGCCAATTCACATTATCATAATAATATTCGATAAATATGCTATTTAATTTAATATGAAGATAAATTTAATTAATTAATTATTAATATAAAGTCGATTTTAACATTAGCATAATAACAGTTTAACACTTACAGTACATCATTATTTCATTACGGTATATATATTTATATCATTTATATTTTGACTTACGAAGCATATTTTTACAAATTTTTTCGAAAAATTTCAAAAAATGCTCGTTAAGAAAATAAAGTTATAAATGAAAACATTCAAGGCAGTGTCGTCCTCTCCAACTTAAACATTCAAAACATCGTTCTTCGATAATCTAAAAATTCGTTGATTTTATTAATTTATGAAAAAGCGTAGTTTAATAAACGAATGGTTACCGTTAAGAATTTATGTACTCTTTAGTTTCTTTAATGGAAGCGTCTATTTTTTCGTGAATTCCGATATATTGAAGATGAAGTGTTTTAGCATTTTAATGGTTCCCAAACTAAGATCGCATTGTACATTTGCTAAACTGGTCTTTTCCATTTGCATTATGAAAATGTTTTTTGCGTAAAAAATTTTAATCGGTGAATAAATCAGCTTTTTATAATCATCTATAATAATCTATAAATAATCATTTTCTCTCGTAGATCTCTTCGGCGATTTGGACACCTATGGACCTTGCATAAAGTTCTTAGGAGTAGGTGGTATGAAAATATTTGCGTTTTTTCTGAGTGGCAGCTATTACTGCTATATTGCTATTACTGCTATAATGATTTTTTATCTACATCAAAAATTGAAGGAAATGATTTAATTTTCACTAAGAAATTGATGACAAGAGATAGAAATTTTTTCTCATTGGCGATCTCCGATTTCCTGAAATCTATTCATGAGCTCTTGATAAAATAACTGGCTTGTGGAGAGGCTTAAAAAAACAAAAAAGATTTTAACTTGGTACCTTCATGAGAGTTTTCAAACCAAAACATTTGCAACCAAAACACCACAGTTAGAAACAAATATAGCTAATTTTATTTGATGTTTGGCACTATTTTCAAAGACCACACTGGTTAAACTCCTTGCACTGGCTTGTCGGACTAGACAAATATGCCAGGGAGTCCCTTCATGATAGAAATACAAGGTGAGCAAAGTTACCCGGATTCTTGGATTTTTTACTCCTGGCAGGAGTAGAGCCTCGGTATCCCGAATTTAGCACTGAATAACCCACTGAGCCGTTCTAATTTCCTTTGCTTTCTCTCTCTAGTTCTTAGTAGATAATGCCGCCTGACGAAGCATGATGCAGCGGCCGATTCGAACCCAAGTTTCGATTCTCCTTGGCAATCATCTTACCACTAAGCCATCAACGCGCCAATATGTGGCCAACATGTAATAGCATTACGGTAGCAAATTTTGGTGTAGAAGATAGTACAGGTTGCCAGGTTATTCTAGAATTGCGATGCAAAGCTTGGGAAGTACTGCTATAAAAATGTTTACAGCCATATTGAAAGCCACCAGATTGCCATTATAGAACTTTTATAGGTTTTAGATCCTATAATTTTGATCGATCAAAAAATTGTAAAATCCCAATCACAAAATTAATTGAAACTGAGAAAAAACTTACATCGATTTTGAGTGGATCGCAAAACAAGTGACATTCTTGTATCCAGTCTCTGCAAATGGTGCGAAAACAGCGATTTATTCGAGTTTCCAGCTAAATTCGCATTGAATAATGTATTATGCTTTATATCACATTAAGCGGCTAGTTCCTATTGATCATTTTTTGCATTTTAAAGATAAAAAATAAAGTATTCAGAAAAACCTTCATCAACCTTCAACTTTCGATCTCTTCTAATAGCACTCATTTTTTCTACCTCCAAATATATGACCACTGGAGAGTCACTTGGGGAATTGTAGGTTGTTAAATGGAAGTGTAGGCTGATCCCTAGCATCACCCGGATTTTATTCCTAATGACAGGTTTATTTCCGTTGAGTGATAAAATGAAGCGAAATATTATTCGAACATCCCTCATGTTTTACTTGACAAAGATGGTCTTTTCCTGGCTATAATATTTCTACTTATTAGGGAGGTTTTTCTCCTTTCTGCCACTGTATGCACTATACACTCACTATTGTGTCATTAATTAAACTCCTTTTTGTTCAATATTTTTTATTAATCACCCATTAATTTGAAAAAAAAAGTAAAAAAAGTGCAAATACAAAAACTGTTTAATTTAAAGAGTTACATTTTGAACAGCAACTAAATTTTCTTGCTAGTTTTTGCTTAGTGATTATATGGACATTTTACTCTAACAACAGTAGCACTTTTGGCTGGTATCATCGGCTACTAAGATAATAGAAGTGTTCCCAGGCTCTCAGTACCACTTGAATTTCATCTTTTATGATACGTTTGCTCCCATCAAGATAACCAAATGGATTATCGTGTTGAGAGAGAAAAGCCTTTCATTCGAGAGGTGCTTATAATCCACTTTCTATTATCACTTCTATCGAAAAGTTATTCTTTGGCAAAATTTCTAAATAAGCCAGTATAGCTAGTCTAACCAGAAATGGTGGGAGCTAACCCCTATTTACTTTTTGTTTGCCCGAATAACAAGTTATTTCAAATCATTTTTTTATGAAGATTCAATTTACGGGAATCATACTTGATGATAAGATTTTGGTCGAGGTAGGGAATATACAAATTGATTTGCCATTATAGTGAATAGAAAGATGATAGTTAATAACCAAGACATGATTGTTGTAGTTCTGAAGATGTCATCAAGGTTTTATATCTGAAATGTCCTTTATTCATCTTTTCATCAGAATTTTTTTTTTATCACTTGTATGAATAGTTACCAAAAATATATGTAATAATAATAATAATGGTAATAAGAATAATAATAATGGCAATAATAATATGTAAGTTGATTTCCATATAAAAAGATATCAGAAGTATAAATAAAGAAATGCTTTATATTTGATGCAGATCAGTACATTGTACCCCTGTTGGTTGGTTGTAACTATTATAGTTATATTTTCCAGTTCATGTATCTTTCATTCTTGAATCTTCCAATCTTTGTTGCAGCAATATTTTTTATAAACAATTTGTATCGAATTTCTTGTTATCTGTCACCACAATTTATTGAACCTTCAACTATAACAAATTAGGACGTTTCATTCATGAAATTCTTAGGCGCATAATTATTCTCATGATTCATTACAATTAATACAATGATGTTTCCAAGGAATGTTTTATAAGTTCACATGGATAGATATGGATAGAAATGTAATTAAGGCAATAAAAATGAAGCGCTCTCGTAAATTTGTAACAGCTTTGAAATTTAAGATAACACTTTAAGATAATCAAATATTATTGAAAAAATTTTATTCTAAAATATAAGTTATAATAGTGAATAGAAAAAAATTCATAAAACAATTCATAATAAAAAGGAATTTGTGAAATCTCGTTGAGGTATTTATAATTCTCAATAAAATCACTTTAAAGGATAGAATTTATTAATTATTCAACAATGAGCATGAAGTGCGTTATACCTGATTGATAATGACCTAGATGAATCGTATTTGTGCACTGATTTCTTTTATTGGACTATATAAATATTTAATACATGAAATAATTGCATATGGTTGATGATTAAGTAAAATATTGATAAAATATTTATCTCCAACATATATTTCTAATGGATAATTAGGAATTTTCCTACCAAATATGATACTGGTTTACGCTTGATTTTTGCTTTTTCGTAAGAAAATGCAATATGCAATTCTGTGTCTTATTATTATTCCGCCTTTGTCCCAAAGAAAATACAAATTTTTTGGATGCGAAGATGCAAGCAATTGACAACCCACCCACAACTTGCAAGTTAGATAATATTGAACAAATTAAACAATTTTTGTCTGTTTTCTGGTTACTCTCGCATCCGACCATTGGCACACTGTGCCAGTCCAGGTCTTGGTTGGACCTTCTCGCTTTTGACGCCAACCATCACAGGGTTCGACAAGTAGTGAAATATATGCCAATTCCTGTGGTGGACGACGGAGATTGTGCCTTAACCAGCGAAGGTGACACTCTGTGATAACATTATTAATACAGGTGGCAGTTAAGCGAAGATGGATACAATTGTGCGATTTTATCCGCACGACGTATCTGTAAAATGATCTTAGACATGAGTAGTCAAAGGCTGATAGATTCTTCATATTTTCCACTCTCATTGGCCATGTTTCTCAACCACATTGCAAGATCAAGTGAATTGCAACTATATGGACGCAGATTTTCGTCTTTATGGTGATTTCACGACAGTACCATAGAGGTTTCATCAACCGGAAAAACATATTTCTAGCCGTCGTTATCCGGATTACAATTTCATCCTTTGTCTGGCCATTTGAGATTAGAGTTAGGGATTAGATCCAAGGTATTTACTAGCACTTTCTCAACCGGTAATGAATTAATAAAAATAGGTATTTTATCAGCATCTTGTACTTTCGTTCTTTCGTTTTATTTACATTGATTTTGAGTCCAATTCTCGCTGCAGTTGTTGACACATTATTTAACATCATTTACATTTCTTCATAACTGTCATAACTGTCAGCAAAAAGGACTACATCATCAGCGTATGATGCTAGGTCTGCGATGTTGTGCTCTGGACTAATTTGCGCACCCCTTGAAGGCCGATAAGCGATGCCCATTATCCAGTCTACAGTTGAATATTGTGGGGAAAAGGATGCAGCCCTGACGGACACCAGTTTTTATTTCAAAGGAGTCTGTTAATTCCCCATATACACAGACCTCCGCCAGGGTATGCTGATAAAATGCATTTATGAGCCGAGTGATCTCTCTGGGACGTCATATTCCATCACTTTCCAGAGCGCTGCTATATCAATCGAGTCGAAAGCAGCCGCAGAGTCGATAAAATAAGCGACGATGGTTTCCTGGTATTTAAAGCGATGTTCCAGCATAATCGCGTCCCTGTCTGATTCCAGTTTGTTATGACGCATTCTGCTGTCTTGTGTTGCCATGAGTCTATTTAGCAGAAGGGAAGCAAAGATTTTTCCTGAAATGTCCAGTAGGCTGATTCCTCGGTAATTGTCGCATTACGTCCTTTCACCTTTCATAGGAATTGGAAGCAGAATTACTTTGTTTCAGTCTGCTGATATTTCTTTTACCATGCCAGAGAATACATTTGAAGGTGAGTATGAACGATGATGGATAACATTTGAAGAATTCGCCTCACAGACCATCATATCCGGGAATTTTATTAATCTTAAGATTATGGGTTACAGAGATTGTTTCCTCTTCTGTTGGCGATTCACAGTAAGCAAAAGGCTTGATGGGCGAATCAGTTATTGTCGAGAATTTTCTCGAAACTATGAATCATTGTTTATAAAAATAAAAAGGTCACGACAATGTCGAGAATGTCGAGAATTTTCTCGAAACTATGAATCATTGTTTATAAAAATCAAAGGTCACTTCTTTCTTTTTCTTTTTCTGCTTCTTCCTTTTAAAACGCTGTGTGGGAGTGGGTTTCCTTTTTTTTGCAATATAAATAGTTTTTTTTAAACTCACGTTTTACCTAAACTATTGTCCCTATATTCAATAAAAATAAAAAATTATTATATTGTTGTGGTGTGACAGCCTTACAAACCCCGTTCAGTCTAAACGAAAAAGTCACAACAGTTATATTCGGTACAACAGATGGCGCATCGTGGTTAAGTTTGGCCTCAAAAAATTCCTTCCATCTTCTGAGGCGATTTCTATTAGCTTTAATAGGATCCCCATTAATATCCTGTATTATTTCACTGATCTCTTCTCTAATTATAGTTGCTTTGTGAGGAAGGCGAAATAGTTCCCTATTATCACCTAAAGCCGCGGTCTACATTTTCAAAGCCATATCGCTCAAATAACGATTTCTATCCTATGCTGTTGTCGTTGTAATTCTTTGAAGCACTCAAGTTAGGATCTGATATTTGGGCTTTTTCAGACAATTGGACAGTGAAATTTGTCTTGAGTTGGGATTGAGCTTATAATATTATGCAAATGCAGCTGGGGATAGAATTGCTCAGTGGATTGTTGCCCAGTTTGGAGAGCCGATGCTGGGGTTCGATTCCTCGCAGGAATAAACCTGTACGAAAATCCGGGTGATGCTGGCGACTGACGTGTATTCCTTTCGGAATCCCTGGCATATTGCCCAATGCGACAAGCCAGTGGAGCGAGGAACCAGTAATGGTGAGGACTCTTAAAAAAAATATATGCGAATCATAAAAAAATTGTATAGAAACTATTGTTTTTCAAGGGTACAGCTGCATCTAAAATTCGTAAACAAAGTAGTTTTTTTGTTAAAATTAGTTAAAAGATGTGAATTTTGTATAATTTCAATATTAAGTAGCTCATTATTGTGAAAAGTCCTTTGTTAAAAGAATGCTTTTTTTTATAATAAATTCTTTTGGTTTTTTTCGACTGTTGATTCCAACACCCAATTAGCGCATTTTCTACTAATATGCCCTAGTATGGAAGTAGCTGACTTTTGCAAACATGTCTTTAGTTAGGGCCAGTATTCATCCGCTTTCCAGAGATATCATTGACATTCATTTCACTGAGGTTTAACACGGTTTGAAATGCGTTTACTGTTCCTGGATCTTTTAATCTGAGATAGTTGAAAGATCTTGGGATATCTTGGGATACGTCTTAGCTCGAACCAT